GTTGTACACTCATCATGTAACTGTAAAACCTTAGGAAACTATTCATGTGATAGTTCCATAATAACAAACTAATAAAAATCTAATCAGCCAAGGAAGTGGCCTTAATAACAAAAAAAAAAAAAATAATAATATAATAAATTTAATAATAAAAATAACTAAAAATCTATTTTATAATATTAGAATCAAGTAGGTTTAGGTTGCAGATAAATTAGTCTGAGTTTTAAATCTTGTCATTTAGTTTAAGATTATACTTTGTAATACATAGTATTCAAAAATTTTAACTGTAAATTTTTAATTAAATTAGTAATAAAAATAGAAACATGGCCTCACTTTAGCTTTGCTTAAAAAAAAAAAATAAATAAATAATATTAGAATCAAGTATAGATTTAATTGCTTATAAATTAACTTTACTTTTTAAAATATTCAAAAATTTTTTAATAAAAAAGAATATTTATTAGCAAATTATAGTTATCAATTTATTTTAAAAATAATTATTACTTATTTTTAATCTGTATTTTAAATAAATTTACTTAAAAATCTAAGTTATTTAATAATTTTTTTAAGGAAAAATATATATATAGCTGTAGTTACATATAGTCACCTAATAAAGCCAATTAAATTTTAGGATTAGATGTAATATAAAATTAAAACAAATATTAGTTTTTTTAAAGAAATCATTAGAACTCAAAATTTTGATTATAAAACTATCTTCTATACTCTAATAAAAAAAATTTCTCACTAATTTTATATATACTAATACTTAGATAAAAATTCTAAGCCTTATTCTAATCTAATCTTAATCGTAGATTTATTATACTTGATCTTAGTTATAGCTACATATAGCCTAAGACTACAAATATATTAATTCTTTTTTTAATTAAAAAAACTTATATTATTATTTAATAATAATTTATCAGACAAATTTGTTTAGAATATAATATAATACAATTTTTAAAATTAAAAAAAGATCGACGCACTCTCTCTCCTGACCACAAAAATTAGAATTGAGGGTTTTTTAGAAACAGCAAAATAATCTCTACACAAGACAACACTAACTCTAAAAACAGAAACAGAACAGAGGCTCTTCCTCTAGTTCCTAGCAAGCACAAAACTTCTTTTACAGAAGTTTCAACAAATAAAAAAATTAAGCTCACTAGAAGTTTTTCATCAAAAAAACAACTTCTAAAGAATAAAGTAGTTTTATATCCTGACAAAGAAATTATAGAAGCAACAAGCAACCAAACTACATCAACTAGCTCAGTACAACAAAATACCTCTTTAGCTAATACTTCTAGCTGGGACGAACAAGTCTCTTAAGAAAATAGCACTAAAAGTTTAGAAAAAAAACAACAAAACAAAAACAATACGAATATCACATCTAGCTCTAAAGAACATAATAAAAGTCAAAATATTAAGACTTAAACAATAACAAAAACAACATATCCAAATTTATATAACTTATCTCTAACAGAATCCAAAAAAAGTACAACAAATAACAACAACGAAACTTTGCAAAGACCGTGAGCAAGTTTATTTGCAAAAGTCAAGAGAGATCAATTAACCTTTACCTCTTTCTCTCCAAGAAATAGTATAAAATCAAAAAATGATAATGCCCTCATTTTGGATATACAAAACCTCAATAGCTCTTTGAATAAAATCATAATCTCTCTTTATGAAACAGTAGCATGTGATATTATCGCTGCTAAGCCACATATTAGTAGAGATATACACACTCATCTCAAGCTAATATTTGCTAGTGAGAAAAAACTCAAGTATTATGCTACAAAAGGAATTAAAATATTCAATAAGACCTATTATGGCTATATTCTAACTGATATGAGAAGGTCCTTCCTCTCAGTTAAAGTCAGAAATATACCTTTGGGTAACAAAGAGGATATTTCTGATGAAATCAAAGAGGTCTTTGATGATATAAGTAATATCATTTTAATTAAACCTCTCTTAATTGAAGGTACTCCCTATTTGACAGACCAATGGATAGTCACCTTCGAGACTACTGATAACTCAGATCTTGAAGAGAGAATTCTATGTTTTGAGGTTATTTTTGATAATAAAGTTACCACAGAATAGCATTCTGCTCCTAAACTCTGTTACTTCTGTAACAAAGAGAGCATATTAAAAAAGAATGCCCCTAGTTTAAAGAAGCTTTACTGCTCTGTCAGCAGCATAAAGAATTTCTTGCTAGCAAAAAGAAGAGTAAAATCGTTCATATTGAATTAGATGATAAAGAAACAAACCAACAAGACTCCACCTTCTTTGTTAAAGATACAGAACCTGAGACCTCCCAAATAGATAAAACCCTAGAAAATAGCTCCTCTAATATGAAGGATCTGAATTCAGAAAACCTTGTTGTAGAAAAAGAAAACACAGAAGCCTCATCAGTTAGAACTCTTGATAATAGCAACAAAGAGAACATCGCAACTAAGAATATACAAACAAAAACTGCTATGGAAATTGAAGATTCTAACTCATCAAGAACTCCAATTGTACTTATTACAAACAATAATAAGTCACACCTGCAAACTAAAAATCTTGAAGAAGGATTCATCACAGTCTCTTTAAGAAAAAGAAAAAACAAAAAAGATATTTTAGAACAAAAAGAAGAATTAACTAGAGTTGCTCCTTATAGAAAAACTCGTAATAGAGTACAAAATTCACAGATCTAATTCTGTATTACCTAACCTCTAATATGACTAATTAACTTGAATTTAAGGTTGCAACCCTAAATGTCAAAGGGTTAAATAATCAACAAAAACAACGAAACACTCTAACTCTTCTTAAATCTTATAAATTAGACATAATTATATTACAAGAAACAAACTTAAATGACCAAAATACATGAAACTTTCTTAAAAACTAATAGATTTTTGACTTTATTTAAATAAACAAAATAGCTATACTCGTAGGCAACAAAAATATTATATTTAAAAATATAGAAATAGACCTAGATAATAGAGTTATCTTGACAAGCTTTGAATACAAAGAACTTATATTTCAAATTTCTAATATTTATACTCCTTCTAATCTTAATAACAGAAAGCTCTTCTTTGAGAAGTAGACACCTCGACTCAAAGAAAACTCTATCAATATAATTGCAGGAGACTTCAACACTAATTTATATCCAGAAATAGATAGAACTAGTGAAGTAGCTTCACAACAAGATACAACAAAAGCACAACTACAAGACCTTACAAAGCATTTTTTAAACTTTACAGTTCTTGCAAAGTCTAGGCCTTTCCATACCTTTTTTCAAAAAACCTAAGAAAATCGTACTATGGCTACTCACCTAGACTATATATTTATCGATGAAAACAATACTAATTTAATTTCATAAATCGATACCAGATTTGGTAACTCAGATCATCTTTTAGTAGAATGCATACTCAACTTTAGTACTAAAAGAAAAGAATCAGCTCTTTGAAGATTCAACAAAGACTACTTCAAAAATGAAAAACTTAGAAATGAGATATTTGATATAATTACTAAGCTAGAAGACTTAGAGAACTAGAACTTCTGCAAAGACTATATACAATTAATAATAAGAGCTTTCAAAAAACTAAAAGCAAAATCACAAATTAAACAAAGAGATTACTTGAATTAGAAAAAGACTTATTCATAATCCAGAAAATATCTTTTTACATACCCAAGCTGACAAACTAGGTCTTGATCTTCAAGAAGAACTAACCAATCTTGCAGAAAAATAGCAAATTTGCTCTAAAGCTTGCTGGATTGAACAAGGCAAAAAGTCTACAAAATACTTCTTCGCCAGATATAAAATAAGAAAAACCTACTCAGCTCTCAAAGACATCAAGGATCCTGAAGCCTCTTTACAAACTAAAGAGAATACTCTTCACTATATCAGAAACAAATACACTGAAATTTATAAAAAAGAAGACTTTAGCTTGTCCTTAGCAAAAGAAATTACAGAAAATTTGCCTCAAGTCTCTCCACTACACAATTAAGAGCTAACATATGAAATTTTTCAAGATGAAATTAGCAACGTTATTAGAAATCTTCCTAACAACAAAGCTCCTAGAACTAATAGTCTAACTTACGAGTTTTACAAACTTACAGAAGAAGTTATAACTCTAATTCTCTATGGAGTCTTTAATCATACTCTATTATCAGGTATAATGCCACCCTCTTGGTGCAAAAGTTTAATTACTTTAATACCAAAAAAAGCTTCAAACTTAGAAGATATTAACAATTAGAGGTCTATATCACTAGTTAATAGTGATGCTAAAATCTTTATGAAAAGTATTGCTAATCGCCTCAACTCTATCTGTGAGGTACTTGTACCACATCATCAATAAGGTTTTATTAAGAATAGATCTATCACAGATGCTGCTCTAGATATAATCACAACAATGAGAAATCAGGCAGATCCCTCTAAACAATACTAGTTGCATTTTATCAACTAACAAAAAGCTTTTGATTGAGTTAATCATAACTTTCTAGAACTCACCTTAAAGAGCATGAATTTCAATACTAAGTTTACAATCTCATTCAAAACCTCTTTTCTAATCAAGAAGCTCATATTATCGAAGCAGATGACATCTCTAAACCTTTTAGAGTTGAGAGAGGTGTCAGACAAGGAGATCCTCTTTCACCATTATTATATATATTAGCTTTTGAGCCCTCATAAGAACTTTAGAAAATCGTCTACATGGTATCGAACTAGGAAACTAACTTTTTAAATCTTTAGCCTATGCTAATGACTTAACTATAGAAATTAGTTTTTTAACAGATTGGAATGAGGTTCAATTCTCTCTAAACCTTTATAAAATAGCTTCTAATGCTAAAATCAATAAGACAAAAACTAAGTTAGTTCTTCTCACTTCCACTGCTCGAAGAGTAGAACTCTCTAATGAAGAACAATTTGTTAAATTGGAAGAACAAGATTCTGTTACGATTCAGGAATACAATATTCTCACTAATGGCCAGCTAAAAAAAGACTTATAGCCTATAACACTTAAAAAACTAAAAGATTCTTTCGACAAACTGACAAACAGAAATCTCTCTTTTAAAGGAAAAATCCTAATAGCTAAATCACTCATTCTATCTAAGATTTAGTACTCTGCTTATCTTCTACCTTCTAACAAAAAACAGATCGCTGATATCAACAGAATTATCTCTCTGTGAGTTAAAAGTACTTCACATATGCTCTCTAGATACTCTACCTTTCAACATTCTACAGAACTTGCAGGACTTTAAGCTCCAGTTATTAAGGATATGTTAGATGCTCGTCTAATCTCTGTTTGGATCAAGCTTCTTACTTCAGATTCTATGTAGGCAAGCTATGAAAGAAACAAAGTTAGCTTAACTCTTAAAGCTAAAAGAAATATCTCTCTGCTACAAGCTCTAAGTGCTAATAATATATATACTAAAGCCTGGTCTACAGAATAGAAACCCTATTTAACTGCCTGGACAAGAATAAAAGGAAAAATTTCTTCTACTTCTAACTGGCCTTAGAATAAAGAAGAAATCTCTGCTAAAGATTTTAAAGGAGATAAGCTCTCTGTTAAAAAATTATTAGAGCTCTTTAAAAATTCAACTTCTTTATATATTCTATCTCAAGCTTCTTCTCAAACTACACAAGCTGCCTGGCTAACTCTAAAATCAGTATGCAATAAGAAAAAAGATATATTCTGGCATCTCTTTCACAAAGTACTCCTATTAGGTTATTGACTCAAATATATAGAACCAACTGAGACAGGAAATTGCCCTTGATGTTCTGACAAATTACAAACTATTGAACATTTTGCTGTTGAATGCCCTAGAAGTAAAATTATTTGAGAAGAAGCTTATAAATTCCTGAATATTAACGAGAGAAAAATTCTACCTGCTACAATGAAAGAAATCTTTAAGCCATCTAGCTCTAATCATCCTCAAACTTTAATAGCTATATCCTGGCTACATATCAACACAATTTATGAAATCTGATATTACTATATCTTATTAAAATAGGGAGACTCAGATACTATACTTAATTCTATTAGGTCCTTAATCAAAAATCGTATCTCTAAAGTAATACTATCTTTAAAGTCTAATTTGTCTTATAATAATTCTAAAACTACGAAGTCACTATATAAATATTTAGTTCCTTAATAAAAGAGTGCCACCTGCACCTCTAGTTGCTTAAGCAACAAGAGATATAAAAAAAAAAAAAAAAAAAAATTTTTTTTTTTTTTTTTTTTTTTTTTTATTAAAAATTTTTTTTTTTGAAATTTTTTTTTTAAAAAAATTAAAAAATAAGTTCTATATT